TAGGGCTAAAATCAACTACTAGTGTACTTACTTTGAATGACCCTGTCTTGTTTTAGCCAGAGCGGGATTGCCAGCTAGATTCAAGTCCAGTAGCACTTTTGAGACCAGCAATATTTGCTGTCTGTAAAGGAAAAGGCATATCTCTGCAACAGAAGGAGCTAGAAACCTTTTAAAATGAAACCTGGGAATTCAGTGAACCTGATATACCTAGTTATATCAGTCTGGTGCCTGTGGTGGCAGAGGAAATGGCTGGTGTGACAGCCCCGTCTCATACGGATCCAGGAGAAACCCCCCCCCCCCATTTCCCCTGCCCTTTTCCAGCTGAGCTGAGAGTGCAGGCTTTCTACTGCCTCCAGTGCCAGCAGTGGGGAGAAGCCTCCAGCAGAGGGAATGACAGCCTGGGAAGTCTGGGGGCCAGTTTGATCCTTTCCTTTTTAAAATGTAAAATTTTAAATTGATGGTCTGCCTGATCATCAGCTGTTAGTTGGTTGCCAAATAAGAGCTGCTTCCTTGCTGGCTTCCTCTCTCCCCCCCCCCCCCCTTGTGCCTCCCTAAAACATTCAAAACGTTCCTGAAATTCCAGGAGATATATTTTTGTTACTCCCAGAATTTTAGGAGGGCTTCATGCCGTTCTGAGTGTCCCTGAGGCAACACAAAATATCTCATTTCAGGTGTAATTTTTGCTTGTGAACATTCAGAGAGATACTGACTCCTGCCCCCTTTTAAAAAGTTTGAAACTGGAGTGTGTAAAAAGAAAATAATTCTTAACTAAATTTTTCGATAAACTTAATTCTGTTCACAGCTTCCAAAGACAAATATCAGACTTAAAAAACAGATTCATATGTATAGCTTATACAACTCAGAGATTAGGGATCAGGGTTTCCAGTATTCTTTGGCTGTGTCACCTTTTACATTAAAAATGTTGATCTTGGCATTCAGCAAAAATGCCCCTATTTGTCTTTTCTTTTTATTTGAAAAACTATATTACAATCAACAAAAGGTGCATAGATTGTATATAACATCATCTAGTGTTTAAAATAAATTATATCAATTCAACATATCTCCTTACATAATATTTATATCTCTTTACATAAGCTGTGTTCTTTTTTCTTCTTCCAAAATGATCATTAAAGGTAAAGGTTCCCTTGCTCGAAAGCCAGTCGAATCCGACTCTAGGGTTGCAGTGCTCATCTCCGTTTCAAAGCCGAAGAGCCAGCGCTGTGCGAAGACGTTTCTGTGGTCATGTGGCCGGCATGACTAATCACCAAGGCGCACGGAACGCTGTTACCTTCCCACCGAAGTGGTACCTATTTATCTACTTGCAATTGCTTGCTTTCGAACTGCTAGGTTGGCAGGAGCTGGAACTAGAGATGGGAGCTCACTCCATCATGCGGCACCCGGGTCTCGAACTGCTGAACTACTGACCTTCCACAGCCTGCAGTTCAGCGTCTTAACCACTTGAGCCACCGCAGCTCCAAAATGATCATTAATTATGCATTAAAACATAGATGATAATTATTAGCTTCCCAAGCTCCTGCATCTTCTGTCTTCTTGTTTTGATCTGATAATACAGTTGATTAGAGCCCAGAAAACTATTTAGATCTATGGGAGCCCACAATGTAGGCTAGGGGAGAGCCTTCTACCCCACCCAATGACCTGCATGATGGGAGCACATACCTCTCTGCTCCCTGGACCTCCCAGTCCTCCAAGCTATATATATAGTAAATGTAAAGGTAAAGGTTCCCTTGCTCGGAAGCCAGTCGAATATATATACATTGAGCTAATAAATATGTAGCTTGATATTGTAATAAAGCATTACAAAATTACATTACATCAAGCTCTATTTCACCGCCCTCTGTTTCTTCAGAAACACAAAGCTTACTGCTTTTAACTGAAGTCAACGATGAATGAGTCTTCATTTTTACAGCTTGAGTTTCAACTTGCTCTAACTGAGGCAAACCCAATGCAGATAATAAGGCTGATCCAGAAGCATAGTCATATGCAGTATATTGAGTTTACTGATATTCCACAAACATTTTACGTGACCACAACCAATGGTATTTTATACCTGCTGCCTGCAGTTTAGAGATAATAGGTTTTAAGTCTCTTCAAATCTTAAACATATCTGGTAGAAGATCGGGAAATACAAGTATTTTATTTCCTTGAAAATCCAAGCCGCTCTGCTGACATGCTTCCATCAAGATTTTCCTCTTAGTCTTGTCTCTACCAGAAAGGGTAGCCTGGGAGGAATCTGTTGTTTTACCTATTTGGTAAGCTTGCAGTATCAGTGGTGCCACTCCTTCCTTATTTGTCTTGATTTTAAAAATATTTAATCAAGTAAACTGACAATGTGATAGTGAAAGTATCAGCACAGGCACCTGAAAGGCTGGACTAATATAATTTCCTCAATTCTTTAGAAAATGCCACCATAGTTGGCTCCTTCTGACTTGATAGTGCACCATCCAAAATTATTTTCTGGTTTAGAAAACATAACAATCACTTTTGTTTTTGTGCTGTCCACACCTTCCTATGAAAGTAACACACACCTGCTCCTCTTCATTCCCGACAGTTCTTTCTTGTTCCCTGGATAAGCTCAATCTCTTTGGTCGTGTTCCGACGGGTATTTACATCTGACCCAGGCATTAATGTTTGGCAAATATAAAGGGAACAATCAGACAGCAACATCTGGGAAAGGTGTCGCTTCCATGATAAGCCTGTTTTGCCCCGCCAGGGAGCCGTACTTAAAAGATACCACTGAAAGTCCGGTGCTGTTGCTTGCCAACGGGCCAGTGACAGACTTTCCTCTGTCTGATCGTTCCAGCACGCAATCAGCCCGTCGGGATGGTCTGCTCCAGACTATCCCGAATGACCGCCATTAAAAAAAATCTCCAAGTGATACGCACATAAATGCATAAACACACCATAGCCACAGAGCTCCACTCAAGTGTTCAGGACAATTTCATGTTAATCAATGGTGCGTTAAATTAATGAACCTTGTTAATTGAAATTGGACCTCGAGGGAGGACAACATAGGTCTTTCCCCAAGCAAAGTAGTCCCTCCACTGACCCAGATCTCCAGGGCAGGGGGGGGATGGTCGGGACTCGTTTCATCCAGCCATGGCCGTCTGCATCAGAACAGAAACTAAAAGAAGAAATTGGGTATGCTTGGTCTGTCTTGTTAGTTTCTCCATGGGGAGAGATGGGGAGGTGTAGGGATTTCGGCTATGTGTCCCTCAGGTGGTGCTTTAACCATGTGATTCCACACATGCGCAGAAAACCAAGTGCACAGTGAAGAGCATATGTGCATGCACAATGGAATTTTTTTTAGAAACCGACAGCACGGCTCCTTCAGGGGGATGTCATCTAAACAATCCACAATGGAGTCAGCGCGCAGTAAGGCACTTCATGGGGGGAGTTGTCTGGTCATGCAACACCGGGTAAAAAAGATCGGGATCAAATTTGAGCCAGGCCAATGGCGGGATTAGCTGCCTACCTGAATGCACTCTTTATGTATCATCTCCTTGTTCCTGGTCCACATTGCCCTGTCACTGCAGTGACCTCCTTCATATGCCACATGAAGAGTTCCAAGAAAGAACATCTATTGGAGACAGTTTTTACTTCACTGTTGTCAGTCCAGCTGCCTCCTAGACTTGTCCTCTACCTTTGGATACCTACCCATGTTATCATGAAAAGGGAAAGTTCTTCAAGCACAAATGATTTAATTTTATTAAGACATGCTGAATAAATATTTTTTTTAATCTAACCTTCAACAAACAATGCAGTAAAAATGGAGAGGGATTTTATTTTTTCGTTAAGAACCCATCTGTATTTTCATTTCTGCAAAGTTTCTTTAATGAAAGATATTTGCTGGGTGACCTGTTCCTAACACTCAAGCATAACTCATTACATATTTTGCTCATGAGGGAAGAACATGGGGATTTCTCTAATGAGCAAATAATAGGTTTTGTATTCAGTTCAAGATGCATGGGTTAGGGTTTTGTTTCATTTTTTTTTAACCAGGCAGCTGGAGCTACTTTGAGACATCAAATATAAAGACCAGCATCAAAAATTTATGCAAGGATAAATTGCTTCCCATAAGAGCACAAGCATTTACATTATTTCCTAAAAGCTCAGGCTGGCTTCTAATTACATTTTTTACTCTGGGCCAAACTACACATAACAGCATCCCTGGGTCTGTCTTATGGACACCTCCATCACGTTAAAACTTAATGAGGCAATTAAAAAATGCTGTGAGGGTCGAATCCTGATTGGGCCTACAGCACAGTGGGATGAGGTCCTCTTGCTTCTTCCAGCATGTCTTTTCAAGTGCTGTTATCACTGGGGGGGGGGTGATTTGCAGCGGTTTTGGCACTTGAAAAGGTGCACTGGGACAAGAGCACTTCACCCCTGCCATGCTTTTAAATCATCCGACCTGTTAGGTTTCAAAATGGTGGTGGCGGCCTTGGATGGGACCTGAGGACACTTCCATGTCTACTTTGGCCCTCAGATACCTCATAATTCCCTGGTTACTGTCTGTATTTTATGGGGCAAGTGACGATATACACATGCGTACAATGTATTGTATGTGATTTTGTACTTGATTGTACTAAATTTGAGTGCAGTAGCACTTTCGAGACCAACAAGATTTTGGAGGTATAAGCTTTTGTCATCTCTGATGAAGGGAACATTAACTCTTGAAAGCTTTTACACCCAAAAACTTGTTAGTCTCTAAGGTGCTACTGGGAAGCAGAAAGCAGGGGTTTAAAATTTAAATGGGTCACAAACTGATTTGAAACATTTCAGTATGTGAACCGGTATATCGATTCATTGTTCAGCCATGAACTGAACTGCAAAAATGTGGTTCATACCAATCCCTAATCCTAAGAACCATTTTCTAATTAGAAATGATCCTTTCATTTTCCCTCAGATGAATGTCATAGTAACACAATATTGACTCCAGATAAAGGTCTGACCACTCTTTTTATTTCTTTCCTTCCCAGCTTCTGTCCGCTACTATCAGTGTGTCTTTCTAAATGGATACAATGAATATACATCACAATATCCTGTTACTCCAGCTCAAGACTCCAAAGGGAAAGGCAGACAGTCAAAAACAAGAACACTGAAACAATAGAGGCACACATCCTGTGACGTTTCGACAGTTTTGCACTTTATGCCTTCTATGGAGGGCCATATGAAATCCATTGTCACGTGTGATCATGGAAATATGATCCAGCAGGTCACGTGGACTTGGAGATGTTTTCTGTTCTTGATCAGGGCAGAAGCAGTAAAAGAGGGGCAGATGTATGAGCATTTGAGGGCGTATCCAAGTACCCCTTTCCTAGAGGAAAGGCCACGGTGCTGAAATAGTACTTGACAGAAATTAATATTTGTGTGCATACGCTTGCATTTATGTATGGTTCTTTCTTCTTATGGCGTTTCTGGTTTGTCTTCTCAAGCCTTGTGGTAACAAAAGAATTCTCCATGTAATTGTCTTTGGGACAAATGACCCACTTGAAACAAGAATCAGAAAGAATCATTTGTGCCACTGTTTGCAATCTGTTAGGATTCCGCTAAATCATGGATTTGTACTAGAGTATTTCACTGTGTCACATACCTGTTTTAGGGATATTTGTTTAATTTATTTAAAAATTCAGTAAAGAATTTAGTATACAACATCACAATGATTATCTTGAAGGCAAAATAAGTCTTCATTTTTTTTAGTTTCCCAAAACAAAGTGAGGGATATCAGGATCTGAAGCTAATGGTAGAATGGGTAAAGAAACAGAATGAAGCATAAAATTTAGAGAGACTAAGGAGGAGACTCAGTGTTTAAGATCATCCATAAGAGTTTTTGCCAAACTGTTGCCAGCTATATTCAGTACTAGTGTGCCACGTGTTAAATGGGTAGAGCTAGATAACTACTGGTGCTGGAGAAGCCAATGTGGAACTATATCACTGTTAGTAAAACAGAAATACATAAATACATATTCTGGTTTAAATGTCTCATTGACACAGTATTGGTCCAATAAGACAAAACGTACATTTGGTCGATTTTGTTAGACAAAACTGAATCTCTTTCAAAGCTTTTTAGCCATACATCTTTCCCAACATTATACTTAATTGTTTTTACACTAGGTGCTCACACATAACTCCTAAATCATGTTTTATTTGAAAGAGAGTAGTGATCTGATTTCTCAGCATCAATAACAAAACCACAGATGTGTAATACTGCATTTCAGCTGTCTGTAAAAATCAATGTTGTGATACTGTGTCATTGCAAAGTATGTGTTTAATATTATATTTATGCATTTAATCTATGATGTTTTATACTTGTATTTACCATGTCAAACCTCATGAATTATCATAGGATAATTCTTTAAATAGACCATCTTATATGAAATGGAATTTATTTTGACAAGATGGCACAAGGTTTCAGATACTCTAGAGGCTCTAGCCTTTCACTACTGAGTATGAACCTCTTTTGTTCATCTCAAGGTCGAGCAAAGAGTGAGGAACTTATTGCTATTCAATTTTTTTGGCATCTGTTTTGTGAGGAAGGGGTAAAGTCCACTATGTGTTGGACTGGTACCTAAATCACAAAGAGACAGTCTTGGTGAGAGATAGAACAGAACTATGCGGGTAGCTTATCCTGGTGAGAAGAATAACTCTATGGGAGTAACATACTTTTCCATGGATAAGCAAATAATTATGTGTGTGTCAATATGACAACGTTCACAAAAATGATATTTTAAAACGAACAACTACAGCACTATTTCAGTGCCTTAGCAAAATGGACTTCTGGTATGTCTCAGCATGAGCTGAGTGCCATAAGAGGTGATTGACCTATATTTTTGCTATCCTATCATTCATTCAAAATGAAAGAATTCAGACTTTCTGAACATAATACCTCATGAGAGACATGAAGACTTTTAACTGTGCCTGGTTATGTGGTGAGACTGCAGAGTTGGCATGACTTATTTTTGTCACCAGTCCACCCAGATCAGGAATGAACTGAGAAACTAGGGCTTTAGAGGTTTCAGAGCCAGCTATAGTTCTGGCCTGTTGTATGGGAATGACATATACCTCCAAACCTTACTGTAAACAGAAACCTTAAGGTTCTGTCATTTTTTCTTATATTATGACATGTCTAATAATTGTCATGCTTAATAAAATACAGTTGACTCTGCTTTCCAATGATCTCCCCATTTCAAATATAGCTTTGTTTAAGCCCAATAGCAGAAGACTTCCTTTGCATTTGAGTTGAATACTGCTTACTATTGGGTAGCTTTATTTATTTTTGAGCTTTTTAAAATGTAGGTTTAGTGACGCATGCCCCTCCCAAATGCTGTTTAACTGAAGCAAGTACAATAACTTATTCGGGGTTCCATTATCCACCTTTTTGCTCCTGGTGTCAGTATGGAACAGAGGAAACAAACAGTTGATTTCAGTCACAGTGTAAATCAAACATCCACCACTGATCTGAAAATGAGTAATTTTTTAGATTTGCAGACAGGGGGAGTGTTCCATCCTTCCACAAATTCAGTTATTCTGAAACCTTGATAAGCCATTACTTGAAGTGCATGCTTTAAATAACCCTGACTCTTAAGGATGAATATATTAAACTTCTAGAGATTGTGCAAAGAAAATTGTGCTAAGTGTCTGATAGTGATGTAGTAAATTTTATATCTGTTTTGGAATTTGAAGAAGAAATTTATTTGTAAAAATTGTTGTTCTTTTATTTATGTTTCTGAGAAAATGTCTTCTCCATCCACAATACAGAAACAGAGAGGAATGGTATTTTTACTATTACTTAGAAGCAATCACTGACTAATACTGTTCTGTATGGGCCATGTTTAACCTGTAGGCTGTCACAGCTTCCCTTATAATTCTAAGCCAAATCTATTTTTCCAAGTTTTCATTCCTGGATTATGCTTTGATGTGAAGAGAAAGACTACAAGCAAAATTCTAAGGACTATAAAAGAACAACCTTCAGCACAAAAATACTGGTTCCAAATGTTTTAATGACTGGCTCTTCTAATAGAACTATAAAGTTCTATCAGTACATGGGGACTGGAAGAGCAAAGCTTTCCTGTACATCCAAAAAGAAGACCAAGAAAGAATCAATATTAAGTAAGCAATCCAGATTGCTCAGGTCACTCTCTTGACCCTGGAGTAGTCAAGAACGGCTACTGATGGCAATGGTTTTTGTAGGTTTTAGCCTGAAATATAGGTCAGTTTTAGCCTGAAATATAGGTCATTTGTTTCTGTCTAATTGCAAGGATTGTGATTTAACATAATTTCTGTGTTTGTTCCCCATCCCCTCAGCCAATAAGTCTGAAGTCCCAAGAAACCGGCAGGAAGTGGGTAGGAGTGCAGTTTCTAAGACAAATTTTGTGTTTGGCAATATTAAGCATTAAACCAACATGTACAACTAGTTTCCTAAGTCACCCACTGTCTGAGATGTTGGGCTGGATTCAGACTAGAATGGCCATTACCATTGATTCTCCCTTCCTACTGCAAACCCTCCCCCCATGTCATGGCCCCCAGGGTCCCCTATCCAGCAGGAGCAGCATTTTGGGAAGATGGGTGGGCTGCAATGGGATGGGGAGGCAGAGGAGTTCTACTGTGCCATTGGAAAAATTAGCCTGGCTCCAACCTGTTGTGTGGCCCTCCACATGCCTAAACATCAGTATTGAGGTACAAACATAGAAGTAGGCATAGTAGTTCATAATTAAGCAGAGAGAAATACTGTAATAGAAAGTGTTTAAAAACAGGTAGACCAGGCTTGCATGCAAATAAAGACAGTAGGCATATTGGAGGAAGAAGAGGAAGGAAAGGAATTTGAGGATTATTACATAGCAAACAGAAAAAGGGGGTTAAACAGGAGTTTTGTGGGATGGAAAAAAAAGGGAAATATAATTTAAAGGGGAAAGAATGAGGGGGCCAACCCAGGCTTGGGAGATTGTGGAGGAGTGCTGGAGAGATTTCAGATAAAGTGGATTGCATTGGGATGCAGAATGAGAAGCAGACCAAGAAAGGGAAAAGGGGGTATGTTTTGAGAGACAGAGCATAACAGGGGGAAAAGAAAGTAGTGGATGTTCTGTAGAAGTCAGAAGAACAGCTGTGGAGAGCGGCTTAACCAGAAAACTGCTGGTAGTCTTGTGCTGCTGCCACAATGGATTTGCTCTTAAAGAACATAATGTACAGTGTCTCAACTTTGTTAGTGCAGTAGTAGTAAGAAACAAGGGGGCACATTGGTTCTGATCCAAATCTTCCACAGGAATACCTGGGCACAGACAGTTTCCATATATATAAAACACTACCCACCCTCCTTGCTCATACATGCATGGACACTTAGTATGGCAGGCTGTTACAGGGATGAAGAGGCAGGTGCTACATCTCTGCCCTGCCCAGCCTTCCCTGATCTGCTCATCTAGGCAGCGGTTCCCAACCTTTTTGCTATGGTGACCCAGAAGTCCAAATTTACTCTATATAGTGACCCATTCAGGGCTGGCACAAGGGTTTTTTTGTGTGTGCCCTGGACACCAGTCTGTTCCAGCATTCCATTTTCTATAGTGCCCAACCAGACTGAGAAACCAACAAACACTATGCAAAGGGTATAGCTGCCCCCATACACACTACAAATCCCAAGTAAGTGGGAGCTCATCTCCTCCTCTGCCACCTGGGCCAGAGCTGGAGTTTGAGGAGGTGTGCTTGGTGGGCACGGGGTTGAGGAAATACATGAAGATGACAGATGGCAGTAAAGAGCTTGGCGGCAAGGGGCTCAGTGCAGTAAATCTCCAACAACAGGGAGATAGCAGTGAGGCACAGCAAGGGGCTGCGCAAGAGGCTCAGCTCTTCTGGTGGCTACCCCCACACCCACCAATTATGGGGTTGCCAACCTCCAGGCGGGGCCTGGAGAGAAGGAAGACTTTTTTCCATGTCCTCAGCCAGTTGATAGCAAAGTCAGCAGTGTGGCTCCCTGGCTTCCCAACTGGATGAAAGACCCTTTGACCCGTGGGAACCGCCCCTCCTTCCTTCAGCACCTCACCCCCCACGCCAGAAGAGCTCCCCCCCCCGGCCTTCGGGAAGTTGCTGTCCTTGGACTTGGTGGTAAACGGCCCGAATCACGTGGCGGGGGGGCATCTCCGCCTCCCTCCCCACGGCTCCTCTGTCTCATGTCAAAATGGTGTCTCTCTCGCCACGGCCGGCGGAGGCATTTCAAGTTAAAACGGTAGCTTAGCAGAGTGACTCTTCTGCATGGATCAAGTGCTGGGCGCACATCGGAAACAAGCCACCAAAGAACCACCCACCAAAGCACCAACATGCCCCCCGCCCCCCTCGCCCAACAGCCCCCTTTCCCACCAACCCATCTCCCGGCTTTCCCACCGACTCCAGCCTTGTGCTTCCTTGCCCCCTGCCTGGGAGGAGACGGGCCACTCGGCCCGCTTCTGGCTGGATTCGGTCTTTGATGGAGGAGCCAGGAAATTCGAGACATCCCCCCCCCCGACAAGCTGCTTCTCATGGCACACAGGAGTTCTCTGCCCTGCTGCTTTAGGGGAAGGCCCCCCTCCCTCGCGCTTCCTCGCAGCAGGTGGCTTCCAGACAAAGCGCTGGCCATTGGCACCCAACTCAGGTTTTTTTACCCCTCACAAAGAGGGAGGAGGAAGATGAGAATGTGAGAAGTCAATGAGGAATGAAGAAAGACAACAATGCATAGGGAAGGAGCCGCCATTAGGGAGATGTGTCCTATGACCCACTTCCAGAGGCTTTGTGACCCACTTTTCGGTCACAGCCTACAGGTTGGGAAACAATTATCTATTTCCATAACCAATGAGAGTGAGTGGGATGAATGGAAATATGGGGGGGGGGTGTTCATTCCCCTTAATGGCCTGGTTTGGTGATTGCTCGTGAATTCATGCTTGAGATCCAAAGGGCTACAAGGTGGAGAATGAGTCTCTGTTACAACTGATGGCAATCTAACTACATATAGACTTTGTACCACAATGATGAAAAGATATGTATCAATATTGTAAAAAATGACTGAATAGGCTGGAATCACACAGTGTAACCTAGTTGGGGGGGGCAGCAGAGGGACTTACAGACCAAGGGTTCTTTTTGCTTGTTTACCAGAAAGGCAGAAGTTTCCAGTGCAGACTGAACAACACCATTACGATATCAATATAATCTGCATTTATGGTGCGCTTTGAGTGTATGTTGGTATTTTGGAATTTAAGCATCTAACACTGCATAGGCTTAGACTGAAACTGAAACGGGTCAAAATGCGGCCACACAGCAAATAGTGGGAAACTGAGCAGTAAAACCGGAGGAAATGGGAGACAGAGGGCAGAACAACTGCTTTTGCAGAATTGCTCCCATATTGTATTATATGTAAACTAGCAGTAAAGCCCGTTGTGAAAGCAATACAACGGGATCTAGAAAGAGGCTCTGGGGCAGTGCTCTGGCTTTGGGCAAACAGTGTCAATTTGCTGTGGTGACCTCAGCAGGGTATAATGACAGAGTCCACTGTTTTCTCCAGAGGAACTGATCTCTGCTACCTGAAGAGCAGTTGTAATTGTGAGTGATCTGTAGCCCTCACCTGGAGATTGGCAGCAATTGTTACCCAGGACAAAATGGCTGGTTTGGAGGGTGGAGTCTATGGCATTCTACCTGTCTGAGGTCCCACCCCTCTGCAAACCCCACCCTCTCCAGGCTCCACCCCTCAAATCCCTAAGAATTTGTCAGCATGTAGTTGGCAACCCCATCTCCTTCCCAGCTAGCCATCAACCTACCATTATCTGCCCCTTTGACTTCAGCTGACTTCTGCCCTCCCTTCTGCAGAGCAGTTGTAATTCTGAGTGCTCTCCAGCCCTCACCTGGAGATTGGCAACAATGGTTCCCTATGTGGGACTGACTGGTTTGGAGGGTGGAGTCTATGGCAGTGTACCTGTCTGAGGTCCCACCCCTCCTCAAACCTCACCCTCTTCAGGCTCCATCCCTCAAATCTCCAGGAATTTCCCATCTGGAGTTGGCAACCCTATCAGGACTGGCCCCAATGTGTTTTCTCCCAAAGGCCAAAGTAGGTGACAGGACCAAGCTTAGTTGCCTACCAACAGGCACTGAGGGGAATGTAGGGTTGCCAGCTCTAAGGAGGGAAATACCTGGAGGTTTGGGGGGTGGATTCTGTAGAGGGCAGCATGGGG